TGGTAATTAGTAGTGACAAGCAGAGCTACACCATTAAAAAATCTCCCAAATTATTCTGTAAAGCTGTGAGGCATTACAGATGTCAATAAAAATCAAGACAAAATTTTTCTGATGCCTTGCTGTGATAAACTGCAACTTCTGTGCCAAAAAATTCCAATTTAGCTGGACATGGTGTGGTACTTCCGTAATTCCAGCACTCAGGAGGCTGAGGCAGGAAGATAGCCATGGGTCCGAGGCTACCCTTGGCTACAGAGTGAGTTTAAGACCAACCTGAATTACAGAGCAAGACCCTATTGCAAAAAGAAAAGGAGAAAAAAATTCCAATTTAAACTTCTTTAACGATTAACCCCAAACCACCATCACCTTTCAACATACAACATTTAAGTAACCAGAAGAATTTCAATTCTGTTAAAGATGCAGTCAAGCATCCAAAGGGGTACATGTTTAATCTGTTTTTACTAGCAACCCAACATTCATTTTCTTCTTATTAATGGATGGAAAAGCAATTTCCCTGCCAAGGAGGGGTAACTATTAGAAATGTAGATGTGTTGTAATTCACAGCTCCAAGCGACTCAGCTGGCAGGAGTAATGCCTCTAGAAGGCAGATCAATTATTTACTGAATTAAAAACATCAGGTCTTTTTTTAAAATATCACACACATTACAAGGTGAGGATAACCTCTTCCTGACTGATTTCTACTGCAATGAAAATACTTATCCTTTTTTGATGTTTGAGACAATATAGTTAATAATATGCCCACCTATTAGTTTATCTAATAAAATGTGCTCACAGAATATTTTAATTAATATTTCAATCATAATTAACTGAAATATGTATCTGCTCTTTGTATAATCTGCCATCAAAGGTTGGAGATATAGCTCAGCTGGCATAGCGCCTGCCTGACAAGGGGAAGGTTGTGTGTTTGATCCCTGGTACAAATAAAGAAAGAAAAGCTTCATTTTGGGCCAGGGATTTAGCTCAGTGGCTCAAGCACTTGCCTAAGTTTGATCCTCAGTACCAAAAATATAAAAAATAAAATAAAATAAAGGTATCAAATTGTTTTTTCAAGTCTGAGAGTCACAAAATACTTCTCAATTTCACTGTGAAGGACTGAATTTGTATGCCCTCTAAATTCACATGTTGGAGACTTCTCTCTGAGGGTGTAATTGTGGTTACATGAGGTCACAGGGTTGGAGCCCAGATATCACTGGCTCCCTATCTCTCCACCCACACCCCAAGTACACACAGAGAAAAGGTCACATAAGGACACAGAAAGAAGGTAGCTGTCTAGCAAGGCAGGAACACATACTCCCCAGAACCCAGTCATCTAGAACACTGATCTTAGAATGATGAGGGGCAAAATTTCTGCTATTTAAGCCACCTGATCTAACACAGGCTTTTTGTCTAAATCTACTGTTCACATTCTGTCGGGCACGGTGGTGCACACCTGTAATCCCAGCACTCAGGACACTGAGGCAGGAGGATCGCTCCAAGTTCAAGGCCAGCCTGGGCTATAGAGTGAGTTCAAAGGTAGCCTGAACTACATAGGAAAGCCCTGTCTCAAAACAAACAAATAAGAAAACAAAGCAAAACAAAAAAGCTCTACCACATTCTACAAGTACAAAAAATGATCAGTGAGGAACATTGTAGACTGAATTTGTAGAATCGCAAGAGGCTAGGGTTCTTGCTCCCTGAAGAAAACGAATTGGAAAAACAACAGAATCATAAATTTTTAAAAATGTACTGGAAAGTTTAATACAAAAGTAAAAAAGCATTCAGTAAAAGTAGCTGACCCACCTCTGCCTAGTAAGGAAAACTCAGTAAATTTTTTTAAATGTGCACTGGCCCCAATAATCTGATACCACAAAAAGTACAGTTCTCAAAATGGTATGTCTCTGTACGCAACCAACCGCTAGGTTCATGATTCATGATACCAGTCTTTTTTTTTTATTTTAAAGAGAAAAAACAATGATACAAAATTTCAAAACAAGATAGTAAGAGGGTAACAATGGCCAATACTACTAATTTCTATAGGTTCACTAAAAAGAAAGATTTGATTTCCTGTATCTTGAAATATAACACCAAAATCTTAACAGAAGAACTGGCAGTTGTTGAAAGAAAAAAAAATTGTCATAAATATCATAGTCAATATATACTTCAAATTATAGAGCGGATTTTTTTTTTGGTAGGGTATTACTGCTGTTGTGCTTGTTTGTTTGGGGTTATGCTTTGTTTTGTGTTGAGACAGGGTCTCACTGTATAGTTCAGACTGACTTGAACTCACTATTTAGCCCAAACTGGCCTGGAACTCTATACGATCCTCCCCATTTTTGGGTTTTCTGTTTCTTTTTTAAGTAAAGTTCCCTAAGTTTGTAAAAAGTATCCTAATAAATACTATTGTTATTATCATACTACATTCATCATTGCACCATGAAAATGCCATTTATGAAGTATAGAGATTTATTAGAGGGTTAATACAGTTAAAATTTCTTGACATAAATAAACTTAGAAATGTGTATGAACACATGAACTGGTAAAGAAAAACTGAAGTATTATTTGAGGATCTCTAAGTTAAACACAGAAAAATTTACATTAAAAACTCCCGTACTACATTAAGGTCTATTAAATTTATACCCTTTTACAAGATACCCATTAACAGAAGTTGAGAACCTAACAAGTAGATTATAAGCAGTGAAGAAAAAAGATCAGAGATAAATACCATCTGATGCCTGACTGGAAGGAACAGAGGCTCACAACAGAAAGAAACATTTACACAAATGATTGTCACAAGCCAAATTACATCATGCTTATAAACATATAAATATTGATATTTTAAATTTTATCAAATAAACACAAATGTAGAAGGTCAAACATATCAAATAGCAAAATGTAGATCAAAAATGAAACTATTTTTAAGAAAAAACATTGCTAGCAATGACAGAGATGACTAAGACAATGTTTACATTATTTACTATGTAGTTTCCATTACAAGAAGCACTCTAACTGCAGCTAAATGAAATGCACACTATTACGATCTGACATAACAATGGGATATAAAAATGAGCCATACTAGCTACACCAAGTAATGCGCTACAAGTGATATAAATTTCAGGGTTCTTCAAATTTAAATTAATTCCCACAACATTTAAGAAGTTTCAATGAATCTATTAATTAACTTGATTCTACAGATCACTAGAAAAATCTCCCCCTTCATCAAAAATGACTAAACTATTAGAAGGGAAATTGTTCAAAGTGCTCTATTTTATTCTCTTGCCATCATTCTTATTTTTAAAAATGAACAAAAAGGGAAAAAGACAGCTCTTTCCATCAGTTTTAAGTCATACAATCATTTCTGATTAACAAGATAAAAATGACAGGTTCCTCAGATACATCAACTAAATGGATAAAATATGAAAAGACTAGAAATTTATAAAGACTATCAGTTTTATTTTTCAGTTAGAGACAAATTATTTTAAAAATAATTCATTTTCCACCACTGGATGTACTCTAACCAGCACTTACTAAGAAAATTGATAAGTAATGAAAAAGTAAATATTAAGCATTTATCCTAACTATTGCAATACATAGAACTGTAGTTCATTTCTAGTTAAGAGAACACTTTATAAAAAACTAGATTTAGTAAATGTAGGTAATATAACAAAACTAGAAAAATTATCTTTCTGCAACATTCAATTAAATTAAAAATTTTCAGAACTGAGGTCAAAATGACACTTCACAAAACATTTGCTAATCTATACAAGAAATTCCTATCTCAAAGATTTAGACATTTGATGTTCAATACCTTATCCATATTACCAAAGACAGTATCATAAACAGGGACACAATATGAAAAAATATGTTTCCTTTGTGATACAATAATGGACAGGGCAACACCTATCAACTTTAAAAATAAAGAAAAGCTCCTTAGTCTGAAGGGTTCTGAGCATTTCTGGATCTAACCTACAATTAATGAAAAATTCAGGGGAATACAGAAATCAATATAATGAAAAATTTGACAAATATAGATGAGGCAATTATTCAGGACACTGCAAAAAGAAAATAGAAAGGTGGTTTCTGTCCTTTTTTCTGTTTTGCTTTTTAAGATAAAAAAAGAAAGGAAAAAGTTACATGCTATACTAAATGGAATTTAAAGATATATACAGAATGTAAAGAATGACTCTTGATTATACTTTGGTTTAAAATAGTTACAGAACACATTTTTAGAAAAGTTTAAATTATGGATTGGATATTAAAAAATATAAAATGCTGATTTTCTGAGGCATTATATAATATTTGGTTATATACAAGAAGTCATACTCTAAGAAAATACATGGTTACTTAGAAATGTATGAAATGCTGTATGGTATATAAAATAATCAAATGTTTCAGGCAAACACACATAATTAGTGCACAGAGACCAATGTAAGTGTGAACACATGTTTAGGTGGTGTGGTAATACATAGATGTCTATTACACTACCTCTTTAGGCTTAATTTTGTGTTTGAAACTTCTCATAATAAGACGTTTAGTGAAGATATGACACTCTACATTGCTGGAACGTTAGTCCTTCTAAAGTGCCTTAAAAACAATTAGAAAAACTGACATCAAAAGATGAGGAAAAACAAAAGTGAGCACAGAGGATGCTGTAAGTTACAAAAAACCTTCAAGTTCAAAGAAAATGCCATTCATATATATTCCTATTCTAGTTTGGAACATTAAAAAGTTCTTGAAATAATTATAACCCAAAAATTAATCCCACACAACAGCACCGCATACCTACTGCTTCTATTCAATGACCACGTCACTAAGAGTGACGCGAGGGGTTCTGAGTTGCATTATGAATTCATTCATTCAATATCATTTGCTAAGCACAACCAACATTTCTGACATCGTGGTTACATGAAGAAAAAAAGTCAGATTCTACATTTCGTATTTTGGATTTCAAAATACATTGCTGGAAACCCATAAAATAAATAGCAAAGCAAAAGCAGAAGCCTTACCACTTGTATTAAAAGCCATACAGCACACTGGCTTCTCATGAGCAGGGAAGTGAGCCACAATGCCATCACCATCAGAGTCTTCACTCACAATCACCTGCAGAAAAGGATTAAAGACGAGAGGTAAGGACTGTGCATAGCTATACTGTAATGCCACTGACCAAAGAACATGCTTCACCTGTACTACAAGATTATTCTCGTTGATGTAAGGATGTAAGGTGAGCATCTCACCTGAGCAAGGAGGAGGATGTGCCCTTAACAGAAAATCATGTGAATTCTAACTATAGTCCGTTGACTTGGCTGTAAATGACACAGACAATTACTTATTCAATTACAGGTTAAGGGAGAAAAATCAACTACTTCTCATCCTTTGTAAAATATAATCAAATACTGCTTTATTCAAAGACAATTTTACTATCTGACTGGAAGAACCTCAAATTTCTGCCCATTGCTGAAACAGAACATGAACATAGGAGAAAATATAATTTAAGTTAAACAGAATTAAATACAAAAATTGTGAGACACCGTCTAGTTTATAGATGGGCAAAGGAGTTCTTTGAAAATATTGCAATACCCAGGTTATAAAAGCAAAACAATTGTGGAAGAGGTAGATTTGTATCTCCAATGGAATTTCTTTTATTTACTTGCCTTAATCTTATAAGTATATTGAAATATGTTACATTTCATAAAATTTGACCATCATTACTGTACCAGGCAACCATTTCTTTAAAATGTTTTTACTTATCTAATGGTCAATAAAAATCTGCTATGATATTGGATCATGATATTCAGATATCAAGACCACTTTCCTTTCCTAAAATAAGCACTGAAAGCTGTACATTTTGCTGTATATACCGTATTTGTACTCTATGAATTTTGATATATTCTGTTTTCAATAAACTCAAAATATTTTCTAGGAAATGGAATGGTGGACACAGAAAAAAACACAAAACTAGAGCCACTGATTCTGGCCAATGGTGTCAAAAGTATACACTTAAGGAAATGGTGCTCTTCAACAAATGGTGCTGGGAAAATTGAATATATATATATATATATATATATATATATATATATATATTCTTAATTCTCCTTAATTCTCTCCCTGGATAAAATCAACTCTAAATTAATCAAAGACCTAAGTATATGACATGAAATTTTTAAACTCCTAGAAGAATACATGACAAGCAACTGAAGTCATAGGCACAAAAACTTCTTTAGTAGGATTCCAATAGCACAAGAAATAATAGCAAGAATTAACAAATAAAACAACATCAAATTTAAAGTATCTTCTGCATAGCAAAGGAAACAATCAACAGAGGGAATGAAAAAAAATCTTTACCACTCACTCTTTTGACAGAGAGTTACTGTCTACAACATAAAAAATAATCAAAAAACTTAACACTAAAAATTAGTTCCATCAACAAATGAGCAAGTTGAAGGGACACTGTTCAAAAGGCATATAAATGGCCAATAAACACACAGAAAAAATGTTGGAACTCTAGTCATCAGAGAGGTGCAAGTCCACACACCCCAATTTAAAATAGCTATCATCAAGAATACAAAACACAGCCTACCATGGTGGCACACACCTGTAATCCCACCATTTGGGAGGCTGAAGCGGGAAGACTGCTTCAAGTTCAAGGCCAGCCTATACTATATAGAGAATTTAAGGACAGCCTGAATTATACAGTGAGTTCCTGTCTTCAGAGGGCGAACAAAAAAGAATTTTAAAAAATTAAGTACTAATGAGGATACAGGGGAAAAAGGAACCTTTCTACATTGTTGATGAGAATGTAAAATAGTACAGCCATTATGGAAATCACAGTGGAGGGTCCTCAAGAAACAAAAAACAGAACTATATTTGATCCAGCTATATCACTCCTCAGTCTATACCCTAAAGAATCAAATTCAGCATATTATAGAGACATCTGCATTTCCGTGTTTATGCAACACAATTCACAATAGGTTAGCAAGGGAAATAGGCAGGATGCCCACGAAAAGATGAATGGATAAAGGAAATGTGACATATGTACATGATGAGACGTTATTCAGCCATTAAGAAGAACAAAATATGTCATTTGCACAAAAAAAAAAAAGGTACTGGAGACTACTGTGTTAAATGAAGTAAGCCCAGATTCAGAAAGTCAAATAGTACATTATTTTCTGTCATTTGAGAAAACTAATGAAAGGGGAGAACAGGAGAGCTGAAAGGAGGAGAGAGAGGGAGATATGACACACAGATAGGAAGAGTGAAGGGAAAGGGTTCAGAAAGTGAGGAAGAAAGGAGACAGGAAAGAAGGGGGAAAACCAAAGTAGGCTTCATGTGTGTACAAATATGCCAAAATACAATGGTGCTTCTTTATTTGATGGCAATAATGAAGATAGAAGTCATCCAGGAAAAAAAAAGCACACTCATCTTGGCCCACAGCAAAGCTTCATGCTATGCATCTTCTTTTTATGCAACTGATAAAACATCTTACAGAAGGATCCTCTTAACTGAATCACAACCTTGCCCAAAGCATTAAACCATTAACTGAACTATTAATACAGAAATATGCCAATTCAGGTTTCCCAAGATACATAATCTTCAGTTACCATTTGTCTAGGCAGGGTAAACCTCTAATTATGTATTAACAACTTCACTAAATTAATTAAAGCAAATACCATACTTTATTTGATAAAATGTAAGCCTTCCTTGTAAGAATAAAACATCTCAGCAGTCACTAAAGTATTATAAATAACTCTAGTTCTTAAGAAAAAAACAGCTCAGGTTTATGTTATCACTCTGAAGTATTTTGATTACTGTTTTTGCCACATTGCCAACTTCAATTATATATAAGTGCATAAAAGGCAAATCATCAAACCACTTAACTTATCTTTGTCAAGAAATGCTTTTAAATAAAGCCTGAAAGCAGCACACATAAAAATGGACACAAAGTCAATCAAATCCACTTCTCTTTAATGCAGTTCCAAAGATCCCATCACCATAAAATCAAATTAATCAATACACCAACAGAAAGATGGTTAATCACACATTATATGCTATGATAGTGAACATGAAAATATCTTTTAAAGTAAGAAAATCTATTGAGGAAAAGGAATGAGGCATAGGAATACCTCCTGAGAAACAGGAGGGGTCCTGAATAGGTGGCCTGAAAATCTCTCTTTCAAAGGTGCACTGTGTTTAAACAGGAAAAACCAATGCGATACTTACGTTAGCTCCTGGAATTATTATGGAAAAAAAAATATTACAGCTAAGGTTAAACATCAATGAAAGAGGGTAAAAATGATAAATCTATGACACAGACTATTATAGTCTTTTGTAAACAATATAGTATAACCTAAAAATAGTTTTGTACATGTTATGGTTTGTGTCTGAATCCCCTCCCCCTCCAAAGCCTCATTCAGTCACGTTGAGTGGGTTATTCAGAGGTGGCTGAATCTAGAGTTTGTGACTGATTCATGGTCCTGTGCTGGGATTAAGGGTGTGAGGGCTACATTCTCCCCAGGGCACATAGCCTGCCTATAATACAAGGAACAGAGTCTTTTCTCTTTCATGTTGGTTTTGCTGTCTTCTACCACTGCCATGAACTGTTGTCATGTGCCAACCTGACTTGGAGCCAGCGGATGATGGAGTGAAACCTCTACAAACTGTAAGCTAAAAAAACCTTTCCCCATTTAATGTTGGGTGTCAGGTATTTTGTCTTAGCAACAAGAAAGGTACACCAATTGAACTTTTTATCAGACACAATGATGTCTTATTGGTGAAAGAGAGATTCGCATTAACAAAAGCAGCAGTAGTATATTTCACAAAACTTATTGTTTTAAGAACTATGATTCTACAATTTACATAGCAACTTACTTTTATTGAAAATCTCTTTCCTATCTTATACTAGAATTTTTAAATCAAGTTAAAAAACAGAAAAGACAAAATTTTTTATGTTGAGCATTTGAGGTTTTTTAATTTTTAAAAAGCTAACATTTCTGTTACTCTTCCCTCATAAATATCTTTGTCCAAGTGTTTTCTATGCATTTACACACCAAAGAAATGAATTTCTGAAATTCCATAAGCTATAATCCATTTCTAGATGCTGGGTGTCATTTGCCTTCCAGGCTAGCTCTCAACACCAAGGCCCAAGCAATGATCCTGTCTCAGCCCCTGTGCAGCTGGGGCTACCAACATGTACCTCCATGCCCAGCCATTTGTTTGTTTGTTTATGTTTGTTTGTACTTAATTCTAGTGATTAAGTTCAGGACTTCAGCCATGGTAGGTAGATTTTCTACCACTGAGTCACTTCTCCAGCACAACATTTCCTTGTTTTCATTTTAAAAAGTAATGAAGAACATAAACAGAAAAACCTGAACCACATTGAAAACATAAGGTTTCAGGCATCTTTTAAATATGTTAATTACTTCTTTTTATACATTCCTATCCTTCAATATGGTAAATGTGAGTTATACTTCTATTTAATAAAAAATATTCATATAACATGTTCTATTTTCAAATGACCATCAATCTGTCAACAATATTAGATGTGCAACAGTCCCAGTCAATGTTGAGTAATAAATGCAGGTGACCTTGTAGGTGAATTAATTAAAAATCAAAAACCAACACATAACACTATAAGTTTATATATTTAAATCCACATTTAAAGAAGAACATCTGTATGTATCTACCTGCATCAGCTAAAACACACAAATCAACCAAAAAGTTTACTAACACTTCATTAAAAAAATACCAGCTTGCAATGTATTTGGTTAAACATAAAGTTAAATGAAAGAGACACAATTTACTAATATTTACTAAAGCATAACAGTCATATCTAGAAACCTAGAATTTCAAACAATTTCTGTTTTAATTACAATGAAATTCACTGCTTTGTTTTGTTTTGTTTTGCTTTTTTTTGTTTTCTCAACATGTCAAATGATCTTACTACAAGAAGTAGCATGTGAGTAGCTGCCACGTAATATTTCATCAAGATGCTGAACCATATCTAGTAGATTTTCTCAAAAGAACATTCAGTATTAAAGGTTAATACTTAAAGATGCATAGTTTCTACACATTTTGTTCTGATACAGAATGACATAAAACTATTCAATAAGTCCTACTCTATCCCTTAGTCTTGATTTTGAATTATATTTTATAGTGACAATCACAAAGTATCATATTTTTAAAATGCTTTTCAGAAATACATTTGAAAAATGAACGCTATTATCCACAAGAAAACAATGTTTATAACGTCTTAGGGATGAGGAGTGGAGAAGGACATATCTTGCCCAAAATATCTTACAAACAAGATTAAAGTATAAGCATAAAATAATTTCCTAGTCATCTCTTCTAAATGTTTCTGAATCTATATTTAAAATACAACTGTTTCATCTAAAGATATAGTTTTATTACAAGTTACTGCCACATGTTTTATGATATGCTACTATAAAATTACTGTATTATTATTTTTATATTCATAAGAAATTGCTACAAAAGTCAATATTATGCACTATATTATGTCACTTTCAGTCATCCTAATTCATTTTTTAAACAATGGCCCCGAGTATGTAAGGTCTTGGTTATTCCCATGTACAAGCCTCTGCCTTTAAAAATACATTTACACCGGGCATGATGGTGGATGCCTGTAATTCTAGCACCTTGAGAGGCTGAGGCAAGAGGACCACAACTCTGAGGCAACCTGGACAACTGAGAACTTGTCTCAAAAAATGTAAAAAGGACTTGGAATGTAGTCTAGTTAGAAAGCCCTGGTATAGTCCCTATAACTGCAAATAAATACATACGTAAGCAAGCACAACTAAATCTTAGGCATTAGATTACACCATGGTGTTATAAAAAAAGAATATTATGAACCAAACAGTAAAGAGTTATAAATTTATGGAAAAATGTCCATGGAAGACGGAAGCAAAATATCACTGTGACTCTGAGGCCAGCTTGGGCCACATGGTACATTTAAGGCCAACCTGAACTACATAGCAAGACCCCGTCTCAGAAAGAATGAGAGGGAGAGAGGAGAGAAGAAAGAGAAGAAAGGAGAGGAGAAAGAAAAGAAAAGAAAAGAAGAAAGCTAGGCATAGTAGCACATTCCTGCAATCCCAGCACTGGGGGCTGAGGCAAAAGGATCCTTGCAAGTTCCAGACCAGCCTGGGCTACAGAGTGAGCCCCAGGCCAGCTTAAACTGCATAGAGAGACCTTGTCTCAAAAAGGCCAAAAAAAAAAAAAAAAGATTTAGATAAACATATAAAACTTTACATTTAGGTTTGATGCCTTAAAACTTTTTGAAATAACAGGTTTAACATGATACTAATTATTTCTTGAAAAAATCTGACCTAAAACAGTATCAATTTCTATAATTCCAAATTACTAATCTTCTAAACCAGTGATGGCAAACTTTGCAAAACTTGGAAAGCTGCAAACAGGCCACTGAGGAACGTGTACCACCACTACCCTAAACCATTGCTCTTAAGTCATCCCTGCAGGAAACACGAATTTCATGCACAAAGGTCTTACCTGGCCCAATCCAACTGTCTCAGTGTCAATAACTGTGATGATGCCAGGGACCAGAGGACTCCGCCGAGAGTTACTATGGATAGTAACATCATCTTCTGTCACACCTGAGGGCACCGTGCCTGTCAGCTGAGTCACCACCTTCCCAACCATTGTCAGGCCACTTTTCAATGTCTGCACAATGAAAGATAAAATACATGACTGCACATCAAACATATGGCATCTAGATGGATATACACATTTTATTAATTATCATAAATTCTTTATTCTTTTATAATCTTTTATATAGCAGTTGTCATAAATATTCAGCTTAACTTTTAACATCTTAACTTTTCATTAGAAAATTAATATTATTTAAGGGAATAGTATCAATGAAGCTACAAAGCAATGTGGCAATAAAGCCGTAATTAAATGATCCTAATTATAATTAAAGATCTCTAATTCACAAAGGGGAGCAATTATATTTTTATAAAAAGTATTTTATTCCTTCCTCTTAATGTTTTTTAAATACATGGCATAAGGAGTAGAAATTATGTAATATTCTTCCCTTTTAAGATGTTATAAATATAATTTTATATCTATTTTTTAGCATGAAAAGGATGGAGATACTGGTAGAATATCCTTGTGGAAAAAGCCTACACTTCTAAAATAAATTTATAATATACTATTCTATAATATTATAAACTATGATTATATAAAATATAATCTCTCCAAGATTCTAGTTACTAAATGAAGTATCATATAAAATTAGCTGAGAGTTCTTTTCCACTTGCTAGCAGTAAACAAATGTAGTGTTTATAAATATTACTTTAATTAAAAGTAAATTAGGACTGAGTGTGATAATGCACACCTATAATTCCAGCACATGGGAGGCTAAACAGGAGGATCGCTGAGAGTTTGAGGCCAGCCTGGGCTACAAAATGAGTTCAAGGCCAGCCTGAACTGCTTGGTGAAACTTTGTCTAAAAAAGACAAAAAATAAAATTAAAAGGAAAAATAAAAGTAAATTAGGATCTTTTATAATTACATTTTAATTGCATTCCTTTAAAGCAAACAGGTAAAACTCAAGTATTTTTCTTGTAAGTAAATTGTCTGATTATCCTCATATTGTAAATAAAAACATTTTTAAGGTAACATGGTTACTTTTTACCAGAAAGAAAGTTGAAAACTTTTTTGAGCCGGGCATGGTGGCTCATGCCTGTAATCCCAGCACTCGGGAGGCTGAAGCAGGAGGATCATTGTGAGTTTGAGACCAGCCCTGGGCTACAAAGAGAGCTCAAGGTCAGCCTGAACTGCATAGCAAGATCCTATCTCAAAAAGACCAAAAAAAAAGAAAAAAAAAAAAACTTTTTTGAAAGCTTTTGTCATTTGATTTAGAATAGGCAGCTATATAAGAAAGGTATAATAAAAATAGGTTATTAAATAATATATGCATATTTTTCAATTCTCATGTTAAGAGAAAATTTACTAAATTATTTTACATTAATCTTAAATAAGGTGACTTCTAAAATAATTACAGAGAAAACATCCTCACCTACATTCTGGCATATGCGATAGCTAAATTTATAAAAGTAAATTGTATATACACAGCATTTCAAATTATAATGTATAAATGGTAAACAAAAAGGCTGTGAAAGCAAAAATGTATTTTAGGCAACAATTATACAGAAATTTTAAAAAGGAAGTTTTCCAATAAGATAGTAGTAATACATGCATTATTTTACCATAATTATGTTTCAGAGCTCTTGCTCAAGGATCTTACCATAACTACCTCATAAATTTCCTCAATTTTATAAAAAATGAAAATTGAAACCAGGGATTTAAGTAAACTGCACCTTAAGTATCTAAGCAATGACAGCCAAAATTCAAGCTGGAACTGTCTGTCACCAGAAGTTGATTTTCCACCAGTATTTTATCCTATACCACCCTGTAATCTGTCCTTAAAATCTGCTTGGTGGTCTCACATTGTTGAATAAAAAATATAGATGCCTTATGGGAGGGGAGTGACACAAGAAAAACCTAGAACCATAAAAATGTATCCTAATAAATACTTAAAATGACCAAGAAAGCCATCTACTAAGTTCAAGCAAAGATACAACTTAGAGCAGACAGAAAAGAAAAAAAAACACAAATTGTAACTGTTTTGTTTAGTGCTAAAAACTCAAACTGCAGTGATTATAAAACACATTAGTGTCCTCAATTAGCAGCCAAACATTTGTTTCAATAATTCACAAGAAATGACTTACACTAACTCTGCGACAGTGGTGTCAAGTAAGCCTTTGAAAGACAGGAGAACCAGGCGCCACGGCGTATTGATGTCAAGAGCTGGCCAGGAAGCCTGATTAACCTCTGAGATGCCTCAGCTGATGTACACCCTCCATTAATGCTAATGGAGATGCTCCCACTTAGAAGTAGCAATCCCTCTATCAAAGGAATGCCTTTTAGTTTTAAAGTCTTTGGTTGTATATCTTCTACATTTGCCCCTGAGCCTATTAGTTCATGCTCTTATACCAATGAATAGGAATAAAACTAAAAGAACTGGAGCACATAAAAAGTGGAAACTAATGTACCACGTCAAACCACAAAGTAACCATAAACATTACTTTTACAGAAAACAAAGGAAAAGCTCCACAAAGGGGAAAACAATAGTATAATTCATAGTCAGAGGTTCACATTATAAACAGCTTTTGACATCTTAGGAAAACTGATAAATTAATTGAATGAATATTGATGTATCTGTCCTACTGGTGAATAAAACTCTAAGACCAAAATCTAGGTCACCAAACATGCATGTATGAATGTGCCAAATGAAGCCCATGTACTGCACAAAAGGAGGCACAAGTGATTTTTAAACAGTAAAGCAAAAAGTCTGCAATTTGTAAGCTAGTATGACTTTTAGCTAATTAACAATGGGGTAGAACTAAGCAATAGGAAGAGTGTCAAAAGCTTCCAGCATTAATAAAGATCACTGATTTCAGGATGAATTTGCTGCCATATTAGAACCAAACACATCCTGGCCACTAGTGTCCACAAGTAATCTGTATCGTGTTGTCTTCAACAGTTCTCACATCTCGTACTTAGAAATCTGAACTACTTCACAAGAATTTGTCTTCTCACTTGACTTCAGGTTTGTATGTACCTGATAATTTTCTCAAATATATACAAAACACAATATCAAGTATAGGTTAGGAAAAGAGAAATATAACTGGACAAATGGAGATGAGAAATTAGACTGAGTTTCCTCACAATCTGAAGGACCTAAATTTACAAGTTCATTAAGTCACTTATTGATGTTTACTAGAGTACCCAAGAACAAAACTGTAGCTACAAGACAGTTCAACACCAGACCATAACAAAGTCGTGAAAAAATCCATTATGACCTAGAAGTCGAACAAGCATCAGACATACTCTATTCATTATAAGCAAATTTGTCTAAGGGTCACTAGTCGTCTTTCACCTTCTCTGTGTCACATCAGTTGTCCTCACTATCCATTAGTGCTAATGGTGCTGCTCTCATAAAACTGTTAGTTGTCATTAAGAAGTTATCAGATAACAAGAACAAACATGGACATTTTTATTAAATCAATTGACCACACTGGGGTTAAATGCATTAAGACAGTTATGAAAGAACTGGGAAATAAGGACCAAAATTTTAGAAATATATCAAAATAATCTCATTTGAAGAATTACAACATTAAACTTTGTCCTTTACTGCTACCATGGACAATCCATCACTTGTATACTCTTGGAAAACAAAGTCAAATCAACCGTTATGGAAATCAAAGAAAAATCTAAGTCTAAAGACTAATTTTAAGTGTGATTTGGAAACTGAGAAAATGTAAAAGATTATTCCCTCTAAGGAGCTCCCAGTGCATATGCAATTAATATGTTTATCCTCACAATTGTATGGTGAGACAAAAAATTAATAATTAATCCCTGTATGTAACAAAGTAGGTAAATAAATAACTTCTCTGTAGACACAGAGGAAGCTGTCATCAGAAAGAAAAAAAGTACTGCTTACTCTTTCAAGTAACATGATTAAACAAAGAAGTTCACATCGTGTCTCAAACAATATTGTATTACTTGAAATAATAAAAATGATGAAATAATTAGAAAAATATATTTTCTATTTTCTATAATGACTCTGAAAACAGGAGAGAATATTTTTGTAATTGCTGCTTGAAGGTACTAAACAAGATAGGGCAGAGTTACCACATTACCCTGCAGTTCCATTTCTAGTACTGCGGGGGGAAAAACAAAATCAAACCCAAGGGAAAGCCAGATGCTCCAGCTGTGTATTCAGACTTGGAAGTGTTCTTGGTTCTCTAGAGGGATGCAAAGAGACTAAGTGATACCTTTGATAGATTTCTGCAACCAGGTCTTGTACCAGAATCAACAGTTTTGAAGGGGATCTGCCTGATAGAATTCCCACTATGCTTTAAATTAGTACCTAAAAACATAGACAATAGAAGATTGAACCTCTTCTAATGTGCAGTGAGCACAGCTATGACAGGTGATGTTCATTTAAGTAACTTAAATAACCTCAATTCCCAAAATTGAATTAGGATGAGCCAAGATTGATGGAGTCTAGAAGGCCAATATTGTCACAAAATCAAGCTGCTTCTCAAAATTCTGGCAAGACATTAAAAATAAAAACCAACAGAAAAAAACACAGAAAGACATCCAACAGGAAACCAGACACTGCAGTTATCAGGAACAGACTTTAATACAATCAGTTTAATGGGTCAGATACGATTGTTTGAGAAAAATAGAAGTAGAGAACCAGAATACATACGGTGAAATTTCCCCACATTTTTGTTCATCTATTGAGATTATCATATAAGTTTGTGCTGTTCAGTGTGCCGAATGATACTCATTCCTTTTAATTGGTCAATTAGCCTTATCCTATAGAATTGCCGCAAGTGGTTTGTAATACATTGTATTTCCTACATGCTTCATTTTTTTCTGTTAATATTTTTTTTCTTTTGAAGAGACTAAGATGAAGCAAAGTACAACAGAATAAAGCCAATCAAAACAAAACAATAAAAGCAATACAGGACTTCAAAACAAAATAATAGGGGGCTAGGGATTTGGCTCAATGGCTTAAGTGCTTGCCTGGTAGGTATGAGGTCATGAGTTCAATCTCCAGGACCAAAAAAAAAAAAAAAAAGACAATAGAAAATCAACAATGGCTGCCATAATATACCTTGCTATCTTCAAAATAGCTGCCAATACCATCAGACATAATAAAATCAAACAAAACAAAACAATAAAATCAAAACAATGTAAATGATATAGGACTTCTAAACAAGATAATAGAAAATTAACAATGACTACCATAATGTCTCTTGTTATGCTCTAAATAGTTGCTGAGACTATCAGCTTCAGACTTGCGAAGTCAATCAACCAATACAAGCATAAGTTGTTTCTTTACTTTAGTTGCTATTATCTCAGCCTGTGTTCCTCCAAATCAGTTGGCTGCTTACTGAGGGTGGGGGCTGGCTCTTTTTCTCTCCTGGCCCCTACACTGATTGGTTCATAGGGTGAGGGGTTTCCTAGATCTGCTCCAGCCACCACAACTTCTGCTGGCTTAGCAAGGGGGTTGGACTTCTGGTTCTCCCCTAGCCGGCACCACTTCTGTTGGCTCATGGGGGACTTGGGTTTCTGGTCCTCCCCCAGCTAGCGTTACTGCTGCTGACTCACGTGGGAGAGGGTGGCTTTCAGGTTTTCCTCTGGTCAACATAACTTCTCCTGGCTCATGGTGGGGCTTGGGTTCCTGGTTCTCCCGACAGGTGCAACTTCTGCTGGCTCACAGAGGGTTGGGTTTGTTGGTACTGTTTTAACAATTTTTCACATCTGTATTCATAAGTTAGACAGGACCAACTTGGGTTTCCTTTTGATAACACTTATCAATTTTCATTATCAAGGTAATCTGGCATCATAAAAAAGACCAGGGATAACTTGACTTTATATTCTCTGAGGGAGTCTGTAATACTGCCATTGTTTATTCTTCAATTTTAGATTAAATTCTCTACAAAAGGTCTTTAGGCCTAAAGATGTCTTTGGGAGATTTTTTAAAATGAAACTTATACTCCCTGAAACAGAAAACTAGTGATTTTGTTTACAACATGATGACTTTTTACAACACACTAACAGGAGTATAACCTGCAATGTAATAGCAATAAACAAAGTATACATTTCAAATTATAAAAATTAAAGAAACAACTTTAGTTAGCATGCAAAACTAGAAATATTCTATTCCCTAGAAGGCCACTTTTTCAATGAAAAAATGTTTTCAAAGATATTTAATGATATTTGAGGTAAGTACAATAATAACTTACCTGGTATGGCTAGAATACAGGATTGGAAGAGTTTCTAAAAGTTAAGTTGCCCATTTACACAAACAGGCTATCAAGAAGTGGGAACTTTAATGTACATTGCTCGTTGTAGGTGTACATCCATAAATATGTATTAACATTGAAATTGGGGGAGGGCGTGGCACGTTTCTGTAATCCCAGCACTTTGAGAGTCTGCGTCAGCAGTTCAGTGCCAGCTTGGGCTACAGAGTGAGATCCTGTCAAACCACTGGCAGCTGGGTATGGTGGCACACACCTCTAATCCCAACACTCTGGGAAATGGAGGCAGACATATCACAATTTCAAATCTTCCTGGGCAACTTAGTGATTCAGTAAAACCCTGTCTCAAAATTTTAAAATATGTGCTGGGGAAGTCATTTAGTGTGAAAGCTTTGGATTTACTCCTCACAACAAAAATTTAAAAACAAACACAAATATTTTAAAAGGCCCAGGGATATAGCTCAGTGCAAAGGCCCTGCATTCAATCTCAAATATCATAAAATTTTTTAAAAATATTATCTACTTTATTCAAAAGCAAATAGATTTTTTATATGTTGCCAAAGCTAATAATGAATTATAATCACTCATTTGGTGAGCAGTGGTCTTTGAGAAATTGATTAGATTAAGGTGTTGTATTAAACATAATTTCTTAAAAGAGTGTGAATGTAAAGACTTCAGGATATGTCCCACAGTTCCCAATATTGAGACATGGAAACACAGGAAGTTCAGATTTGTTATTTTCAAGTCATATTAATTTTAGCCTCATTTCCAAACATTTCCACATTGAAACACTTACTGAATGAAGCTATCACTTTCTTTTTATATAAGCACAACAAACACGTAATACCACGTAAGAATCAAAAGTTACCCTCCCCTATGAAACTGAAAATTACTTAAAAATGTTGAGCTACACTGACTCATGTGAGAGAAATCTAAAACAAATCTAATGCATAAAACCCCTCTGTTACAAGTCACAGATAAACTAACAGAATACCACTGAAAATTCTGCCTCATTATTCCTAGATTACTCTTTGTTGTAATAATCGTCTTTATTTTTGCATACACAATGGAGAAAAGCAAACATTCTTTATAAAAGTTTCTGAAATATATAGTGCTTATACAAGTACAGACATTATTTTCCTTTTGAGTGAAAAGTGTGTGATTCTTCTCTCATCAAACCAAGGAACACATTCTAAGCACATCATGTAACCATTTGTGATCAACCTTGAAGTATTCTTGTGTTTGTTTTACATAAAGCACTGTGACCTTTGATTCCCTCTCTGTGGTTTACTTTAAACTGTTGTTCTTTTCTGAATAGTTGTGCTTTCTATTACATGCTGTCATTTACATTCACTCTGCAATTCTTACTATTAGAATTGTTTTGTTGTATACTTCACAATTCAAAAGGATAGTAGTTACAAGAATACCTTATAATCAGCATAAAGTTTACCAGGCTTCATCAAAATTAACCCTCAGTCACAAAAAAGAACTCCCTTGCCAAACAAGAAGGGAGGCAGCCCTTCAGAATCTTTGACTATGCCAGGGGACTGACTTGGTTTTTCATAAAGAATGACAGGGGGGTTTTAATGTCAAGAAAACTCCAAAATACTCAAAGATGCGCAGGAATATCAGATAGAATGATACAAACTGCAGAATACCAAATCAATCACCAATTCTCATCAGTGACAAAAATGTACTATAAAGACTGTTATACAACTATGAATGAAAATGGAAGGAAAATTCAGTGCAGTTCAGGAAGGGAAATTTCAATATGACACAAGCACAGCTCCCAGAGATTACTGAAGTACTCACTTTAGCAGCACTAATCACTGTGGCAGTGTAGGACTGGATGTTGTCTCCACAGGCTCCACCACGGGACTGATGACATCGAATCAGCTAGAGGAAGAAGACGAGACAACGAAAAAGTCATTTTCTATTTGCTGTTTAACTCTCAGGCTATTAGAAGGAGCTTATTTACCATGCATGATGGCTGTGGATGGGAATGTTTGCATGAGTGTCTTTCAGACAAAACAGCTCAAAACCCTCCTGAGACACTTTTGCTTCTTTTTTATAATCTACTGGTGCCATTCAGGCAGTTGCATGCTCAACTACGTTTCTAATTACAAGATGAAAAGTTTTTAAGAATTCATAAACTCTGAAATGGTAAGGATTTGGGATCTGGCAGTTGTTCTACAAATAAATTTTAAAAACATAATCAAAGGACTTAGAAATGACTTCCTAACATTAAATATCTGACATGCTAGCAAATTGCATGTTTTGTCTTCTTAATTCCTCTACAAAGATTATAAAAGGAAACATAAAAAAAAAGATTTTGCTGTATTTGCATTTTCAATTGTGTTAGTGGAAAAGTGGCACAAATTACACATAAATCAACTATGACATATATACTAGCTGTCCACTTCAGAGAGCTTACTGCTTATGCCATTAGGAATAAAAAGCATGGGTTGCAAGCTAAGTGTGGTGGTACACCCACATAATCCCACCACTCCAGGCTAAAGCAGGTGGACAGCCAGTTAGAGCCCAGCCCAGGCAGATCAGCAAGATACCATTTCAAAGTAAAAGACCGAAAAAGTGCTGGGGACACAGCTTAGGGTGACAGTCCTGGGTTCAAACCCTAGTCCCACAAAAAATATGGGGGTGGGAGTTGGAATCAGTGACAGAGCACTTGCCTAGCATGTGTGATGCCCTAGATTTGATTCCTAATAAAAAAAAAAGAAAGAAAAAACTTTAAAAGGAAACAAAAAGAGTAAAAGAAAAACAAATGAAACTAAAGACACGTCCTTATTCACATCTCATGTAAATATATCAACCTGTCAATTTTCAAAGTGAATCAATACTTTGATATGCATGATTCTTTCAAGTGTGAAGCAATAAACTTAGATTCAAACCTTCACTGATTCTACACTGATCACACCATTTACATGTGGATAAAATTCTTTTAAATTTAAAAATATGACTTTTCCAAAGTCTCAGGAGTTCACAACAAAATCCACTTGCAAAAGTGCTTTATGTAACCTAAAACTAGGTTTTTTTGATGTAATCCTCTTATTTTAAATTCAAAAATTTTTTATTGTTCACATTGTTTTTTAAAATCCTGCAAAACAGTATTAATAAACTAGAAAGGAAGACTTTTAAAAAGATCTGATAAGTAACATCAACCTTTTTTTAGGCAAACTCTCCTCTCTCACACTGAATAATCAAAGTTAGTGATTAATCACCATAGTTTATTATAGAGTAAAATAAGGAATTTGAAAAGCGATGAGTTTAGTTAACAAAAAGAATCTCATTTATTCACCCACAAATACACATTTGGAGAATTATGATAATTATCCCTCTGCTGCCTCCTGCTGCACAAGCAAGGAAAGACGGTATTTTGGAAAAGCTATTCCAAGCCTGAGGTAACTAAAATATTCACAAACATATGAAAACTTTTACCTTTTCAATTTGACTACAATTGAGTCAACATTTCTATGTTAAAATTTTGGCCTTGAGAACATAGAGTGACATGGAAATTAATTATATCTTGGCTCAATAAAACTAAAGATGTGGAGAACTGTGTCACATGTACTCATTTGAAGGAATTGTTAACCAAAAAAGTAACATATCAGAGTATACATACTACTACTGTATGACCTCTAATGAAAGAAAAGGAGAACATAAACGAATATGTAACATATACTAAGTTATATAGCCATAAATAAAATATAAGTATTGGAAGAAATGCACCCAATTCCAAAATTAGGGGAGGAAGAAAGGGAAGAATGAAAAACAAACTAAAGAAAATAACCTATGATGATAGCACTTGATTGTCACAGCAATAACATAGCATAGCAATGACAGCAGTACGACCAAAATCATGTCTGATGCCTTTACTTGACTTTTGTAGTAGTATGGACAAACAATTCTGCAATCGATTTTTTGTATTACAGGATAAAATGAATGAATAGATGTGCTGATGTCAGGACATCACTATGCTAAAAGAGACATGAATATGAAATGGGGAAGACAAAAAAAGTATCCTTTGGAAGCATCAGTGTGAATTCATGATTTCCAACACATATATATGTATACATGTATAGGTGCACAAGTATATGCATGTATTTGCCCATTTGACCATGTGTGCAAGTACTATGTACTTCCTAGCACTGTCCATTGAAAGACTTGAGCTCACCTGTGATCCCAGCACTTGAGAGGCTAAGCCAGGAGCATTGCAGATTCAAAGCTAGTGCTGGCTACATACTGAGTTCAAGGCAGCCTGAATTATATAGAAAACTCTGTCTTAGAAAGGAAGGAAAGAAGGAAGGAAGGGAGAGAGAGAGAGAGAGAGAGAGAGAGAGAGAGAGAGAGAGAGAGAAAGAAAGATATAGATAGATAGATAGATAGATAGATAGATAGATAGATAGATAGATAGATTGGGCATGGTGGTGCACACTCCTAGTTCCAGATATTACAGGATTAACTGACATAACTGGAATATGGATAGTAAAGTATTTTATCAATATTAAATTGGCTGATCAAGTTAGGGAGTATAGCTCAGGAGGAAAGTCCTTGCCTAACATGCATAACATCCTGGGTCCAACTGCCAAAGCAACAGAACAAACACGTAACAAAAACTAAGTTTTAAACCAAGTATGGTGATGCAGGCCTTTACTCAAAGCACTTGGGAGGCACAGTTGGGAGATCTCTGTAAGTTTGAGGCCACACTGGGCTACAGTATCTCCCCAAAAATAAAACCTAACTGGAAAATAAACTCGAACGTGATTTTTCAGGATGCTCAAAATATAAGCCCAATGAAGATCATCAGCCAAATAGATGCACAACTGTTGCAACACACAACATACTGAATTAAAGTAATAGAAATAATTAAATATAAATATCAGTGACATTTATAATTAAATAATAAATTATAACTAAATATTCATAAATACCTGACCAAGCACATTTTGGACAAGAGGTAAACGTTTATGTAAACAGATGAACTTAAGACTTACTGCTGAATGACCCAATGGAGTAGAAACACAACACATGAATAACATGCATATTTGATAACAAACAGATGTGGTCACGTCAAATAAAAATCTCATAATTTAATACATTATGTGTTGTGATGGATGTACTTAATGCACTTGTATGAAATAAAAAATGTTTTCTGAATTTTGGTGCCTGCAATTTTTTGCTGCTTTTGTATGGGCATCGTTCTTTTTTTTTTTTTTTTTTTTTTTGTCTTTTTCCTTTTTATCGGTACCGGGGATCGAACTGACGACTGCCTGCTTTCAAGGCAGGCGCTTATGCCGCTGAGCTAAATCCCCAGCCCCATGGGCATCATTCTTAACTGCCATTATTTTTGTTGCAATGCCTGTCTTGTCTGTCTCCAGTTAACACTTGATTTAATGGGAACTTTGTAAAGCCCAGCCTGTGGCTGTGACTTGGGTGAAGAATTCCTAAGGTAACATCACTGACGCTGTGCTGCCAATGCACTATCAGCAGGCTACGCAGACAAGATGTGCTCACTGAAGGAGGGCTCTGTTGCTGGACTGAGAAAATGTCTGGATAAGACATTCAGGAATTCACCTAGAAAAATGACTTTCCTTAGTCATTTCTTTTATTTTGCACATTTCATAGACTAAGAGATTTAGTAGTTCTGTGGCTTCACAAAATGTTTAACTTCCCACATCCAGATTTTGTCAAAAACTATTTCATACTATTTTATAACAGCCCCATGATACAAGAATAATCTTGCAATTGATAAAAATGATATAAAATAATTAGGCATCTTTAAAGTCTGTGCTTTTTCTTTCTCTTTTTTCTTTCTCTCCCTCCCTTTACAGTACTGTGGATTGAACCCAGGGCCTTTTCGCTGAGCTATATCCCCAGCCATTTTTTATTTCACCACTGAATCTTGCTAAGTTGCCCAGGTGGAGCTTAGCATTTGAGATCCTCATGCATCACTTATTTTTTAGATTTTATTCTACATTCACATGGAGAAAGCTAACTGACATAAAAATTACTTTATGCTTTCTTACATAAAATTTAAATTTATTTTGTGCTGAACTATGCATAAGTAATCTCTTAGTATATAAACATTATATCTTCACTTATTATGAAACCCTTGAAATTGCAATTTCATGGGATTGCATGGGATTGCAATTTGATAAATAACTAGAGAATAAGGAAAAGAAAGTGAGGATCTGTAACTTAATTATTAAAGCAAATAGCTGCACCTTTTTGTAGATATTTGCTGGCATACACAGCCAAAAACAGTTTTACAGCCCAAGTTTCCAGTCTACTAATGCAGATAGAAGTTACTCCTGTCTCCTGATTTCTGCCTCCACAGAAACTGCTCTTTTCAATGCTGCTGCTACTGTAATCTAAGTGTTGTACTTAAATATTACTGGACTAAAGTTCTTGACACAGAAGAAAGCCAAAAAAAAAAAAATTGGTTCTATTGAGTCTTGGTTTAAGGACAACTATCAAACATTTTAAAAATTCTTAAAAGAATCCAAATATTGATTGCACAATGAAAATCAAAGCAAACTGGTAAGGTAAACATTCATTATTGATAATCATCAATAGAATAAACATATTTCCTATGGGAAAATCCTTAAACACTTGTCCATTACAAGTAACCCCAAAATGGGTTACCCCTTACCTTATTTTCTGCATAAGCAAGCCAACGGCTCCCAAGAGCAATAGGATTCATGTTGGGCCCAGGACAAGGATAACAACCTGAAAATTTCAAATAGTAGTACTGAGAAATTCCTTAACAATTTTTGTTCAAGCATGCATCAAATATTGACGTCAGAAAAAAATGAAGTCAAATGCATATTATTTTTTCATATGAAATCCCCATACTACTAATCATTTTAATAGTCAAATCAGGTACATTTTTTTCCTCTACACTATTTCTTTTTAGTATTTGCTCCGCCCCATTAATGAAAGAAATCTGGAAAGAGCCAGGAATGACTTTTTTAATAACTGGTCATCACCTACTGCTATGCCCAAAAAAGAGAATGAAGTTAATACAGGCCACTTTAAGTTCTAAACCCTGAGCATACACAAAAAAGGAATTTTAGAAGAAGCCATAGAAAGGATATGACAGACTTAGGAAGTTAAGGACAAAAGATAAATAAGACTATCAAAGATACACCTAAAAGGAAATGACTATACTATGCTGGTAGGAAAAAAAACACACAGTAAGGTGTGGGGCCAGTGAGAACAAGCAGTCCCCAAAGGTCCTCGCTAAAAGATGTGGAGGAACTACACAATACAACGCGTTTACAGTGGCACAACATGTCTGTCTTCTTCCCTGAGTCAGCCAATAACGTCAGATTGCTCTATGATATGTGATTCACTTTCTATCCCTCTGCAACTTAACTAGAAGGTTATGTATAGTCCTCTTGTATTGTGGAATTGTGTCCCCTTGTTCACCTCTGAATCTCCACTACCCTGAGCAATGTCCGACACACAGCAGTACTCAATATGTTTAATCCAGGTGCAGCGCTGCCTGGCTGTAATTCCCACACTCAAGAAGCTGAGGCAGAGAATCTCCATGAGTTTTAGGCCAGCCTGGGCTTAACAGTGAGTTCAAGGCCAGTCCCAACTACGAAATGATACTCTTAAAAACAACAACAAAAAGCAACTAAATATATTTGAAAAAGTTAAGACAACACACTGACACTAACCAAAGCATATTCGTGACATGTTATGTACATGTACCAACTCCCCATGATGAAAGTAATCATTATGCATTGTAATCATGTATTAACAAAATCTTTCATAAACACGAAAAAAAAACCTGACAAAACACAGTGCCTTACAAATTTTTTTTTCAAATAGCAAAGGTCAGCTAAGTCTAGTTCCCTCAATATAAAGTCATTTTACAATAGAAATTTTTCTTCAGTTCTCTGAATTCAGAAATCATGTTCAGTGATTATCACTATATGTAATGTTGCTATACTCACAACCACTAAAGATGCACACAATGCTACTGCTTGTACTACAGATCAATTTTCAGCTGAGTTGCCTAAATTTCCACCTATTTTCAGTTTTTTTGTTTGTCTGTTTGTTTGGTTTTTGTATTTGTTTTGTACCAGGAATCAAACTCAGGACCTTGAGCTTGCCAAGGAGGTGCTTATGCAGCTAAGCTGTATCCCTGGCACTCAAATTTTATTTTGAAAGGAAAATAATGAACTAACAGGACTTGAAAACAAAACAAAATTTCTCTCACTTTCTTGCTCATTTTAAAAAAAAAACAACTATTTCTCTATGGTTTGAAAAGGTGTGCTCATGTTACTCTGAGTAATTTTGACATTACTATGTCCACTGAAGGAATATTATAGGGGCATCTATAAGAAAAAGACACACTAAAAATGTATGCATGAAGAATACACCCTAACATACGCTAATATATATCATATAGTACTTACATAATAGACTCCTATTGAGTAAATTAATATTATTCAGAGATGGAGAAATGAATGTTTATATGATCTACAAAAAAGTTTTTCCCATTTAAAATCTGTAAAAAAGAACAGAACCAAATATCTGTGAGCACTAGCAACACAGTAGAGTTTCTAATCTTTTAATTAACTTTAAATGTCAATATAATCTCTCAATTCTGATAACTACCTCAACCAATATTAGAGACTATTAAGTATAGAAGAAAAAATGTAGTTTATAATATTTAATTTCGCTAGTTGAGTTCATGATTGTAGAAACTCAGAGGACCTCAAGAATTTTAGTATATTAGAATGGATAAAAGTTGCTCTCTGTTCACCAACACAGTATTTTATAGCTGGCACGAGCAGAATATCTACCACTCAGCACTATCCCAAGCTTATAAGCTGACTCCTTTACAGCTGTACCTTTGCCTCCATCTAACCATGAAAAACAAATGGAGGGGAGAGAACAGGGAACCTCTGCACTGCTAGGATGAATTCTAGCATGTTTACAATGTCACTGAAAGTAAAGGAGAGAATTGAGTATTAAAAGAACTCAGGTTTCTCCATTTAAATGAAGGTAAAATTCATGAACAACACACTAAATGGATAAATAAGTAATTAAGATGATATGTGAGAATTTTATATCGCTTCTTCCCAGAATTTGGGTCATAAAGTTTCTGAGACAAAACTCTGAGACACTGACTTATTTTTCCTTACAAAGACAAATTTAGGACATTTTTTAAAAAGCAAGTACCTACATTTATGTCAATTAATCTCCAACAAAGGAACCAAAACATGTCAATAGCACAAGAATATTCAATTCAACAATCGTAGTGTAAATAAATATCTACATAATGAAGAAATTGAAGCCCTGCATCATACTACACAAAAATTACCCTGAAATATATGAAAGAATTAAAATGAAAAGCTAAACTGATTTAACTCTTAGAAAAAAATTTTCATGATCTTGAGTAAGCAAGAGTTGTTCATGACACCAAAAGTACAAGTGACAATAGAAAACATTAAGTTTGACTTCAGGAACACTAAAAATTTTGAAAGCTGGGTGAGGTGGTGTATGCCTACAAACCCAGCAGTTTGGATACTGAGGCAGGAGGATTCCAAGTTCAAGGCCAGTCTGGGTTATACAAAAAAACACAAAACTGGCCTAGAGTCACACAGTGAGATCCTGTGTCAAAAGTATAGCTAATTAATTAAACCTCGAAATTTTATACTCCAAAGAAACAGAAATAAAAGGACAACCTACAGAATGGTGGGAAATGTCTGCAAACCATGTATCTGACTAAAATATGAAAAGAATTACTAAACCTCAATACTGAAAAGACAAATAAGGTATATATACAAATCATACTGCTCAGTGTCATTAGCCATCAATGTACACATCAAATGCACATAATTACAAAGATGTATAAACAAATGTTCAAGAACTGTTTGCAGTCTCACTGTTGGAATGTCCACTTTATAAGCTTTAATTTTGTAACTTGAACAATTATTTCTAAGATGACAAAATGTAATCCATTAACTAGTGATTTCCTACTGTTTATTTTTTTCTGTAAATCTGTATAACTTGTACCCTTTCTCTGCTTTTTTTTTTCTTTTTCTCCTTAAATAAAATTTAAAAAAATTTTTTTTAAAAAATGTTCAAGCTGAAAACCTATGTCTGCATATAAGCTTGTGTTCTAGTATTCAGGTAAGCATTACCTATAATAGTCCAAAAGTATAAACAAAGCAAGTATCTGTGAATGTATTATGGACAGCTAAGCTGGGCAAAAATAGTATAAGCAGTCAGATAGGGACAGGCCCTCAAGACAGCCAGGACAAAGGTGAAACACATCTCAACTGTGGCTGGAGACACTTACATTAGAGACAAGGCCTCGAGATAAAAGTAAGATGACTGGACCTGCTTACTTCCTTGAAGGACAAACAGGCCTAATGAAGCTTAGATAGACATCAGTCACCCAAGGCCTCCAGACCAATCATTCCTAAAAAGAGTCTTTGTTCTTTCTATGCATCCTTGCTGAGTGACCTATTTCCCCATTAGGTCACTATTACCTAAGCAATTAGACTCATATCCTTATTGGTTAATCACAACTGTAACCCACATTGTACCCAAGTGAGTACTGCTCTATAAAATTTCCCTGTACAGTGGAGTCCCCAGGTTATTCATTGAGGACCCTTCCTGTTCCTCTGTAACTTCCTACTCTTAACCTCCTAGAATCCATTCTTTGATTTCTAGAGAACACAAACTCAGTGTATCAGACATCTAAAAGGTTGGGAGTTATAATATTTTCCTTATATCATATTTGGAGATTCTGATATCATCCCTGTAACAAACAGATGAACAGATAAAATGCAATAAATCCATACAATGTAATATTCAAAAATAAAGAGAAACGAACTGAAAGAGACCACAAAAATGGACGAATGCTGATTATATCTAAGATTAGTGAAAGACATCAGTCCCGGTTGGAAGTACTACAAACCTACTCCACGAGAAACACAGGAAATGCTGAATATCACTGAGTCTTTCTTAACCACCATACAGCTAATTAGTGACCTTTTTTTAAAGATTTCATGGGCTTTGAGACAACTTGTTTTATTTTTATTTTTCATATGTATGAAACACAAGAATTGTGGAGCGTTGCTACTGTAAGGCTCAACAGGTAGGAATTATATGCAAAGAAAGGAAAAGTCAAACACAAAAAGTTCACTCCACACACATTTACTGTGTGTTCACTAAGTATTGACCACCTGCTCAGTCCCTAAAAATATCACTGAGGCTGCATGATCTGATGCAGAACCCAAACCATCAGGGTTAATTTTAACTTTAACTCACACTGGATATAGGTCACAATGTCTACTTGTGAATGTTTACAAATGGGTTTCTTAGCATAGAAAAAAAAGTTTCTCACTGTAAAACTTAAAAAGAAAAAAACTCCACATTTGAAAGCCTTTTAAATTCATTTCCATTTGTTACATTTGTTATTCATCATCACAAATGAAGAACACATACACTAATGCCATTAAGATTGTAAGAAATAATTTTTCTTCCTCAAAGTAAAACCAGAGACCAAGGGAAAGAGACTGCTTACTGGACACTCTTTGGTCTCCCCGGAGACTTCATATCTACCTTTCAATTTAAAGACCCTTAAAATGACTACTAATGACATCTATCAGTCTTTGTCTTTTGTTTTCCTAATCATACCTGGGTTTTGGGTTTCCACATCAGACAGCTGCTCAAAGCCAACTTTTCTGTACACCAAATACAAAGGTGTCTCCTTTCTCATCATATTGGATGTGTTCTGTTAACAGTTCTCTATCGGCTCTCTTTACCTGTTCCATCCACCCTTTGGCACAAATTCCCATGATGCGTGCTCTGATGGACACAGCTGTCTCTACTTATTTTACAGTGCCTTCATTGTATTCATACACAACTAAGGCATTCAACTAAGCGCCTTTCAGACTATTTTAGAAGTTAAATGCTTGCATGATCAAAACAACATCCTCATTAACTGAAGATCTTTTCACTCTACACGGGATGTGAGCTCAGTACTAATCACTAGGAGAAAAGCTGTGTGGCAGACGCAAATGAGCTACCACAAAAGCTGTCTCAGTATACTCAGCCCCACCAGCTCTCTGTCCGAATCCCTGCGTGTGGCTAACAGGTAGCAAGAGTTACACTTATGTGATAACACAAACCTAAACTATATGAAGTTTCAGACTGGCTAAAGGAATGGGGGTTGCGAGGATACGATATGATTGCTCTCAGCAACATAAAAGTGTACGCATACATCCGATCCTTAAGGTTTTTAAATTCTGTAGAATTACTTTAAAAAAAGAATGACATACTTCCTAATGGAACTGTGAGAGGAAAGTGATGACTATTATTGCTAAGGGAATTTGATAACGATGTTAGGACTGAAGTGAAATGTCACAATAAATACTATTCAAAGCAGGAAAAAAAATCACAAACTTTTGTTGTTGTTGCTCTTTTCTGAACTCCTTTTTATATAAAGTACATCTTGAGCATATTCTTAAGTAATATACTCTTCAGTTTTTATGCAGTCTAGTCAGTAAGAGATTGCAAGGCATCGCAATCCGCAAGAGCCACTATACAAACAGCACTAAGAGAATGAGACTCCTCATGGATCAGGAAATACTAAAAATTCATTACTGCAGACCACAAAACTGCAAGAGTAGGAATTAGTTATAAGCTGCATGTCACCTGTAAATACTTGAGTACACTACCACAAACACTGTTGATTCTTCCAGATCTTTTTTTCCTATCTTTAAGAGTTCACAAACTTAAGAGACTAATAATACCTGTTTGAACTATTTAGCAGGCAAAGTAAAGCAAAGATGTCCTGAAAAGGGATTAAGAAAAAGAGAAAGAAGATAAAGAATTAAGACAAAAATGCTAATGATACTGAAATATTAGTAGAAACAAATGTCACTGGTATGTACAGAATAGTTAGAAGTTATCAGCTCTACCTATATCCTTGCATCTAAAATGCTTCAGGGCAATCATTTTGATCAATAAACAAAAGTATGATGAAAAGGATCTTTTAATCCCAATGTACCAAGATTAATAGAAATCTTTGTGTCTTTCAAACTGAACTTAAGACTGATACAAAAATCAGCTTCTTTTCACATTTTTTATTCCTAGTAAGGCTAATCATGACTTTTAAAGTTTGAAATTACACATTAAAAGAATTTTTGGAAATACATGTTTTTATATCTACCAAAAAAAAACTACTATATAAATATGCCCTAAAAGATGTCACCATCACTAACTTACTAATTTCTTGTCTGTTGCTTCTACAACTGACTTTGTTTGTTTTTATTACAAAAAAAAAAAAAAACACACACTCATTCCAGCAGAACCTAATATTTAAACAAAGCTAAAATTTCAAAATGTACTTTACCAATTAATTGAACTAGTTTAATAAGTAATTATTTTGGATTTTCTCTGCAATTTACCACTCAAGTGAGGCAGCACAATATCTTCATTTCTCTCGCACGCCTCCCTCTCTTTTTTTTCCTTTTATTTGTTTTGAGGCAGGATCTCATACAGTTTAGACTGACCTTCAACTCATTATACACCCCAGGCTGGTCTTGAACTCACAGCAATCCTCCTGCCTCAGCCCCATAAGTGCTGACATGATAAGCATGTACCACAACACCCAGCAATATCTATCTTTTAAAAACTTAAAAAAAAAAAAAAAAGCAAAAGATAGTTCTATGCTCCTGACCTGACAGTAATATTCACTATCATGAAATACAGACTACAAGTATAAAATTAAAATAGAGACACAACAGAAGTGTCAAACAGTGCAGAAGCCTTGAAGCAAGTGTTTCTGATGAGTAATATACACCATAAAACTACTGAAAAAAAGGATAAAAGCAATTCAGGAAAATCTGACACCTGCATCTGGCTGAAATATCTGTACACTCTTCTCATTCATTTTCTATACCCTATCCAACTGGCGTAAACGGATAAAACCATTATGTGGTTCTATTTTCTAATCATTTAATTAGAAATATAACAAATATAGTATCCAGCATGGTGGCACATGTCTGTAATCCCAGTACTTGGGAGGCTGAGGCAGAAGGCTCACCATGAGTTCAAGGCCAACATGCACTACATAAACAAGTTCAAGCCCAGCCTGCACTAAATAACTAGACTTTGTCTCAAAAAAAATAAATAAATAAAAATAAATTTTTAAAAATATATATAGTAACTATACATCTCAGGGAGAAAAAGATTATAAACATAAAAGCATGCACTTGTGTTATTTTTCTTCATGGTCTACAAAATGTCAAACAATGTACTATAATGAATTGTGGTGCATGATGTATATAATTATATCCAACCTATACTTTAGTAATTGTATCAAAGAAAACAATTTTATACATAAAAATAGATACCACCAGGTGCTTGGTACACAGTAGATACTCTATATATATTTGTGTAAACAGATACAGTATTTCAAGAGCTCCAACAAATACAATTAAGATTCCCTGCTCATTTCAAAATTGAAAGCAATCATTTATTCAGAATCCTGGAAAACTCAACTAAAGCTTCCATGGTCAGTTGCAGAAGCTGAAAAAGCAAATATGTACTATAAAAAAATATTTAAACAAAATTCTGTCCTGAGACAGCCTTAAGACTACAAAGTGCACTCTTGGGACGCTGCAAATTCGAGACCAGCCTGGGTGCAAAGGGAGCCCAAGGCCTGCTTGAATCACACAGCGAGACCCTGTCTCAAAAAAAACAAAAAAGAAAAGAAAAAAGAAAAAAGGCAGGCAACGTGTAATTGGTTTCTGCTGAAATTTTCACCCTGACAACTTAATACGAAATACTACTTGCAAACAATTCCATAAGCAAATAAGTATCTTAATCAACTGGATCCTCTCTTTGCCTTCCTCACCACCACCCCCACTTCACCTTCTGCTCTAGATAAAATTTCAAACATGTAATTTCATACTGTATCAAATATATTAATTCCATGTGCTTGAACACATAATTTGGGTCTAAATTCTATGCTTAGTTTTGAATTTTGGGTCAGTAGTAAAATTTACTACAGTGGAACAAAGATAGAGGAAGAAAAAGACAGGAAATATTTCTTTTGAGTTTCAAAACTCCCAGATAGGAGAATCCAGATACTTCCTCAAGCATGGAAGATAAACAAGCAATTTAACAAGTGCTTTCAAAAAATAAAACATATACGATATTAATCACAATTATGCAAAGAGAATATGTAAGAAGAAACTGAGGCAATATAGAATATGTATGATGGTATGTTGGCAAGATGAAATTATATATCACACGATTACTGAGCAAGAACATCTACAAAAATCGTAAGATCATCATAATTCAAATGTAATAGCAATGATATGATTATAAATTGCTGACTCTATCAAGTAAAACTCAAAAGCATAACAGCTTATAAAATGATTTGATACATACTTGTAACAAAAAATTTCCTTGCAAAAGTACAGCTATCAAAGGCAGCAATTTTCTCCTGTAACACTATGACGAGGATCCTAAGATTGAAGGGAAAAAACGAAACAAAATGAAAATAAAACTCTATGAATCCTTGAATCATAAATACGTTAAACCACCTGAATTTAAAAACAAAACATTTCTTATTCTATTTAAGTTGAGAATTATCTAACTCTTAAAGACGAAAACACAAGCAAGCAAATCTTTTATATAAGTAGGACAGAAATGACTAGAAAATGTTACTGAAGGAAAGCTATTACCTCAAAAAACATTCTTTTCTTAATAAAATTTCATTCCTTCATTTTAAATATATAACCTTAAGCATAAATAACATCAACAGAGCTTACTGTTCACTATGTTTCAGAGTCATGGAATTAAACAAAATGGATTTAGATAATACATCATCTTAAAACGCTGAATTTCCTAACACACACACACACACACACACACACACACATACACAAAGAAATCTAAGACAAACGCAACTCAGTGTAAATAAGTCATTTGTGATTCACTCAATTTATTAAAATTTAGCTAGAATCTTAATACAAATTGTCGTTTAAAAATTATTGCCAAAAATCTAGTAAAAAATTATAATTGCAAAAAAATACTTCTTATATTATTTTTTTCCAAAGTTCATACAAGTAAATATTAAAACACATACTAATAGTTACTGGGGAAAACAAAAATTTAGTATTTAAAATTCAAGCTTTATTAATTTGTTAAAAGTTATATTTGCTGATACAAAAACCTTATGAGCCAGGGATATAGCTCAGCAGCACAGTGCTTGCCTGGCAAGCATAAGGTTGTGAGTTCAGTTCCCAATACAAAAAACAAACAAACAAAAACCTTTTAATGAATAATTATTTTTACATCTTTGTGATTATTTCCCCCAGCTGGGTTTGTTACAGAGTTCTGTTTTTACTGTTGTTACTACTTAAAAACACTCTATTCTAAACTTCAACTGTGTTCTGTAACTATAATACCCTAAGCCATCTCACACACTGCACCTTGATAGAAAAAAGCATTTCCATGTGTAATTATTATTTACCAAGGCCTGTACTGTTCTTTTACACAAACTGAATCATCTTTTAAAAAAAATCAAAAGATCCAGGTGTGGTGCACACCTGTAATTCCAGTATCCAGGAGGCTGGAGGAAGCAGGAAGATCACTGTGAGTTTGAGAACAGCCTGGGCTACAGAGGAAGTTCAAGGTTAGCCTGAACTGTGAGGTGAGATCCCACCTCAAAACAAAACACAGAGAACAGAAAGACAACAACAAAACAAAAACCCCACAGCCACCCAGTAGTATTAAAATACATGTCAATATTAGCTTGAGTTTGTAATATAACATATGGGTCTGGGCATGGGGCTGGCCATATCCTTTTAACAATAAAACACCAACTTATTTGTAACAGGAAGACCTAACTCTGAGTCCCCTAAGGTGAGGCACAGGAGCTTTGGACTTTCTTCATCCTGAGGGCCCCAAGGAACACACTTGCTGTGAATGTTAAAGCACAAATGGCCCTGGTATGTCAGGCTGCATTCATCAACCCAAATGCAAAACCTCACAACTCACATAGATCCCGTGTAAAAGCTCCCGTGTAATTCCACAGAGCTCCTTACAGGACACGGATTTGCCTTTGGTACTTGTGTATAGCTGAGCCTTCAAACACCCAATTCCTTTTATCAGCATCTACACTAATTCAAGAGTCTGCCTTTGTTAAAAACACAATGTGATGAAGATGTGAATTTGGCTTTTGATTCTGTCTCAAAAACTAAAACAAAACAAAAGTTTTGTCACTGACAAACACACGGGGCTGAAATTCAGGCCTGGTATAGGTAGAAAATTAACAAATATTTGATTTGTGAATCCTAAATACAGCTCAGTAAAACAAGATTTGCAAACTGACTGGTATATAGTAATAGGAATTTCAAAACCAGTGCAGCCATGGAGAGAACACTGTATGATCAGTGGTAGGAACATAAAACTTTTAATTTAAGAAAACTGGGATGAGTACATGGAGGGAATGTACACGCAGGATGAAAAGACCCGGATGGATGCACAGGATCTAACACAGGTACACATGTAGATGCGTAGTTCATCCTATAGGGAGAGCCGCGGAGGTAACACAAGGGAATATTTCTTCTGAGAGCTCTCAATTCTGCAAGCTCCAGGTAAGTCCAGCATTCATCTAATTTTTGGTTCCACACATGTAAGTGCCTTATTTTACCTACAGGTTTTAAGTTATCTTTAATTTTCCTATGGTGTTATGTTATGTTATGTTATTACAATATACCTAGGAATAGTTTTCTTGTGGTGTTTCTGGGGACCATGAATATATAAATTTATGTTCTCTGTAAAATTTGTGTAATTTTTAAAATTTATCTTTTCAAGTAATGTTTTCTCAGTTATCATCTTAAATATTTTAAGGCTCTGGTATATTTTTCAACTTATATCTACTCTTAAAATTGTATAATTTCTACTGACCTATTTTTGTTTTGTTTTGTTTGAGGGTTTGGGAAAGGTTGAGTTTGTTGTTTGTTTGTTTAGAGACAGGGTCTTGCTATGTAGTTCAGGCTGGCCTTGAACTCACTAGGTATCCCAGGCAAATGCCTTGAACTCATGGCAATCCTCCCGCCTCAACCCCCTTGAGTCATGGGAGTGTATGCTCTACTGATCTGTTTTGAAGATCCTATTTCTGTTGAGATTTTTTTTTTTTTTTTGTCTTTTTCCTTTTTATTGGTACCAGGGATCGAACTCACGACTGCCTGCTTACAAGGCAGGTGCTTATGCCGCTGAGCTAAATCCCCAACCCCTTCTCTGTTGAGATTTTCACTCAACACAATCATGAAAATGTGCTTGGTATACACAGCTAATTATCAGTATGTCTGGACATCAGACAAATTAATTCTTTGGCTTATTTACTGAGTCTATTTGAAAATATTTTGTTATGGGTGATTTAAATTCACTTATATTAACTAATATGGCTCATATGTAAGGTCTCAGCTCCCCTTTGCAATGTGGAATGTTTTGCCTTTATGCTGGGTGGGGGAGATCTCAAACCCTTTCCCTAATTTCCTTTCTTGGGCTATTTTAATTCTTTACCTGAACACCTATTACCACCTTACTTCCGTCTACAGTACTTTGTATTCCCCTTTTTTTCTATTCCTAATTTGAATTGTGCCTATATCAGAGTATCTGATATTTATAAACTATTCTCTTATTATACTCATCTTCTTAGATCTATACCTTAATCTCTTGCTTCAAAATTGCTTTCCACAATTTCTGCTACATTCTAGTCTTTTTAAACAAGCTATTAAAGCTCAACCTACATTGAAACTTGGGAAAATTAAACCCTGGAAATTAAATTCTTTGAAAGAAATATCAAAATAATCTAAAAATATATCTATACTACCATAATTGCTTCATACAATTTTAAATTAATCAATTATTGATATTCCTCCAACATTCACATTTTCCCTTCCTCTCTCTCAAATCCCCTCAAAACCTTATTACCTTATAGCAAAGGCACAGTCTCAGCACCTACATCAGATCCAAGTACAGATGAGGATCCTTTTGTGTAATTCCTTAAATAAAGTTCCTCAAGAACAGCTACTCTCAAGCTGCATATCATTAATTAAGATGATAAGTTAGCTGCCTAAACAACAAAACAGATCCAAATATGCAATGATGGGACAGGCCCAGAAAAACTGCTACTTTGATTTATTTAATGGCTTAAAGAACAAGAGAGACCAAACTTCCAGTCAAGTTGCTACCTTGTTTCAGTAAGGGCTATTTCACACCTATATTTTCTTTCATTTATTTGGTGTCAACTTTCCCCTTAAAATTGTCAAAAACTGTAAGGACTTGGAAAGTTTGTTTCTATTTTCTGTTTTCTAGCATAGTTATATATTAATAAAACAAGTAACACAAGGGTGCCCTAAAAATCTCTGTACATGTGTTCAGGTTTCTTTTTTGCTAAATAACATGTAATCTAATTTTCCACAGGGCAAAGAAAGGTTTTCTGGGTTAAATGAATTACTTATGAGATCAAATCATTCAACAATACGGTTTACCACTCCTGTGTGATTCTGGCTAACCTGGTGTGCTACCCCACTACTACTACGCTGTTTCTTTTATTTTCTTTAACTTTCGTATTTTAAACTTACATTCAAATACTCCTAACAATAGTGATAATCCTCGTTTTCTTTCCTTTGCATTTGTTGGTATTTTTTTGAAGAAGTCCTTTAAAATCTAACTAGAGAATATCTTGTTTCCCTTGAATTTATTGAAATGGCAGAAAATATTTCATTGTTACGTTTCATGTGTTGCTTTCAGATGGGCGCAGACTTATTCCTTATACTCAAGCCTGTTGATCAAAGCATTCATCATCAGAGGACTTCAGTCTTCAAATGTAAAATGAAGTGATTGTGTGATAAAAGAATTCAAAAATTCCTTTCCTTTCCTAATTCTGTAGTTAATTTGTCTTTATCACTAGGAGTCACAGAATAGTTCAGTCTAGATGTGAATAGTACCCCATAATTTTAAAGGAGGAAAACAAACCCAGTGCCTGTTTTAGCTGCATTATAAAGCATAAAACATTTTTAAAAGTTAAAGAATATTTCATTTAGAAACACACTTTTTAAAAGTTTTAGAGAGTCCTCCTACCAAAATCACAGTTCACATTATAGACCAATAAATATACAACTATACATAAGCATTACTAGGAAAATTAAGCTTTCTATGTTTTCTTGGATACTTTCCAGTTCTGTCTTCATTTTGTTTTTAAAGTTTTTATTTTATCCACTACATGAATTCACAATTTCCCAGGATGTCAAGCCTAGAAGTCTGAACAAATTTATCAAAACTCACAGCAGCTTTTTCAATAGACAAAATTTGGAAGAATTTTCCTTAAGAGTATTTTTTAATAAATGTAAATCATGAAATTACTAGATTACTAAATTACAATATGCAGGAGGTATATTACCTAAATGCTTACCGCTTGTTGCAGTGAAGATCATAAATAGGTGTTTTAAACTGAATAGACTTGACCATCTCCCCAGTACGAAGTGAATACAGATCCACACAGCAGTAAGATGGACTTGTGCTAAAAGAAGAAAAAGGCATTACTTTAAATAGGAAGGACAGGTTATAGCTCAGTGGTAGAGTGCTGGCCCTCCGTGTGATCCCAACACCACGGAGGTGGGATGGATGTAACTCCAATAAACTATGCCTTTTTCTAACACAGTACTAAAATCCCTTATTAACATGACATTAGCAAACTGATTCAGAAACATGATCATAATATATACACATTCCATTTAATGTAGAAACCAAAATTAATAGAATGGAAAAATACATATATATTCAGAAAATAATACTGTGCAGAAAAAACTGCCTGCATGATTATCACAACATATTCATAAAAATATTTAATAAATTTTGAAACACATTCATGACAGAAATTCCTTAATCTGATAAAGAGTACTAGACATAAAACTAACAAAATTAGCAAAAAAATACATAATACTGAAAGATTTTTTTAAAATACATAATACTGAAATATTTTACCCTCAAAAAAAAGACTTACTTTAACATCATGATTGAACACAGTAGGACATGTTCTGTACATAAATCAAGAAAAGTAAAAATTACAAGAAAAAAACTACAGCCACTATTATTTGCTGAAAATCTGATTATACAAAGCCCAATAATACATATCTTTAAATAAAACATATATACAGATAACCACACTCAATAAACCAACTGTATAGTTGATTAATCACAATCACTAAATTCTAGGTTAATATATAAATATTACTTGTGTTTCTGAAAAATAACAAAATTAAAAAGTGAAATTTTAATATACACAATGGCATTAAAAACCAAAAGCTTTGACTATCCTGAATTAAATGCAAAGACACATATTAATATATTTATTCAAAACAGAATAAAACAGTCCAGGTATTCAAGAAGTGGAGCCAGAAGGATCAAAAGTTAAGTGTTCATCCTGAGCTAGACCCTATCTCAAAATAAACAATAGCAAAAGTTTTTAAAATCTAAATACAAGCCGGGGATTTAGCTCAGTGGCATAAGCACCTGCTTGGCAAGTGCGAGGTCATGAGTTCGATCCCCATACCAAAAAACAATCTAAATACAGCGTGATAGATATAAGTGGTGTCCTGTAATCCAGCACTTGGGAGGCTGAGGCAGACTATCACTGCAAGTTCAAAGCCAACCTGGGCTACAAAGTGAGTTCAAGGCCAGCCTGAGCTGAATAATGAGACCTGTCTCAAAAAGGTAAAAATAAATAAATAAATACTAAATAAAATATCATAGCCTAAAAGTTTCTCTAAAGAGATTTTAAAGCTCATCAAAAGTCTACCTGATGAGAACTAAATTTAAAGATTACTAGAAATAAGAGACAGACCTCAGCCTCTCCCCATGACTCAGTACCATCTGCACACTGGGGTGAAAGAGAACAAGGCCACACCAGGAAGCAAGCCCAGTCTGGAAACCAGTGCTACGCACAGGGTGTCGCCGGACTGCGAACAGACAGACCCCAGCCCCTTCCTGTGCCTGGAAGACAAGAAGTACCAATCCTCACACCCCATCTGCAATAAGCAACCTCCTTATCCAGAGAAACAGGCAGTGATAACAGCTATCAAGGTGAAATGCAACTGGACGCCTGTGGTGCTTTGGTGCTTCACTAACATTGCAGGTCTAGGGCCAGTGGTCTGATCATAGGTTCAGAGCATAGCTGTACTCAATGTGGAATCTAGGGGGATCTCCTTCTGAGGGTTGCAGCCATTGTTGATTCCTTATGGTCTTGCTCTGAAGTTCTATATCATGTCCATTGTTTTGCTGGGTTGGGTTTTAGTCTCTTTTGTTTTAATTTTGTTTGATTATGTTAAATCCCATGGCAAGAGCAGCTACTTCAAGATAGCAAGATATATTATGATAGCAATTTTGGATTTGTTATTGACTTGTTTTGAAGTCCTTTATTGCATTCATTGTTTTGTTTTTATTGTTTCTATTCTGTTCTGTTCTGTTTTTTTACTATAACCAATTGCAGCTATTTTGAAAATGTCAAGGGGCATTATGGGAACTATTTTTGGTTTTGTAATGTTGTGAAGTCCTGTATCTGTTACATTGATTTGTTTTGATTGGTTTTATTGTTTTATCCTCTTTAAAATAAAAATATAAAAAATAATAAAAAGATTATTGGAAATGAAAAATACATGTGGAATCACATTTTACATGATATGAATTATTGCAAAGCTATAAAAATTAATACAATGTGCTCTTTACATAAGGACAGATTAACAATTCAATATATCCATCTGCAGTAGGAAAATGACTGAAATATAAGTCATGCAACTAAAAACACAGGAAAAAAAATAAACTATTGTAATGAACAAGGATTTTACAGACAAGATATCAAAAGCAAAAATTGCATAAATAGGATTACATAAAACCAAAAGGCTTTTGCTTTTATACAGCAAAGCACAGGAAACAATCCATGGAACAAAAAGACAACCAACAAAATAAGAGTAAAAAAACTGTAAACCTTGGAGCTGATACATAGAATATACAAGGAGCTCAAAAAATTCAGTAGAAAAAAACACAATTTAAAAATATAAGCACTAGAACCAAAGATATTTCCCAAAAGATACACGGAAGGCCAAGAAGTATTTTTTTAAATGTTCAACATCACTAACTGACAGAGAAATGAAAATTGAAACAATGTGAAATAACCTCATTCTACTTAAGAATGGTTATTATTAAAAAGACTATACTCCCCCCAAAAGACTACATAAAACAAGTAATGGTGAGAATATAAAGAAAAGAAAATTTTTGTACCCTGTTGGTAGGAATCTAAATTAACATGTCTATTCTAGAAAAAAGTATGGAGGCTAATTTTTTTAAAATTTTAAAGGTAAATCAAATTAAACTTCTTTTTAAAAAAATTAACTCCAGATGAGAATGCAGCCTTGCCAATACCTTAACGTGGCCTTTTAAAAATTCCCGAGAAGAGAATTCAGCTGACCCATGCCTGTCTCCCAACTCACAGAAACTGTGTGGCAATAAGTGTGTGCCGTTTGACTAAAAATAAAAAACTTAAAAATAGATCTATCACATGATCTACAAATTCTTGACTGGGTGTATATCTAAAGAAAATGAATTGAGCATGTGGGAGCAACATCTGCACTCCCATGTTTTTTGTAGCACTAGTCACACAACTACAAAAGTGTCCATCAACTGATGAATGAATAAAAAAATTTGGCATATCTACACAATGAAATCCTGTCACTAGCAACAAACCAGATGGAACTGGTGGCTTCTTGTTAAGTGAAATAAGCCAAACAAGAAAGATAAGCACTCCCATGATCTCACTCATATGTGAAAATCAAAAAAGTTAATCTCATAAACACTGAAAGTAGAATGGTGTCTACAAAAAAAGCTGGAATCGCAGAAGGGAGGGAGGGATAAAGAAAGCTGGTTAATGGGTATTAAACTGCTGTTACATAGTAGCAGGTTCTGGTGTGATACTGCACAATAGGGTAACTTCAATAAAGGTTTAGATCTTTTAAATATTGATTACAGTTAAAAACGCATTACTGTTAATCCCCCTTAGAATTCTCCCCCTCCTCAAATGCACTTATCCCATCTTTCTTGCCACTTTCAGCAACAGTTCTGGAAATTCTCTTCTGTCTTTACAAGAGTAATCAAAAATATAATGAATGCTACCACGTGCCATCCAACAGATATGCAGGCTCATAAAAACATCACAGCGAGTCCTCATCCACCGTATTTACCAGATCTGGCACCATGAGACTTCCAGCTCTTTTGCAAAGTCAAAATGGGCAGCAAAAGTAAAAAACGATCCTGGATAGTGAGGCAACCACGATGGATAACTAAGCCAATCATGAAAGAAGCTTCCAGAGCTGCTTCAGAGAGGGACAGGAGGCAGGGTGCTGGAGTAAGTGTGTTCACAGTGTGAGGGACTATTGTGAGATGGAGGATGAAGATGTGTCTTTCACTGTAATACTCACCATAGTTTTTATCAGAATTTTTGAACAGAATTCAAATTGTATACTTTTACTTTGTAATAAAGAAATAATGTAAAAACAAACCCTATATTGTGAAGGAAATGACAAAACGTGTAATAGAGAAATAATGAAAAGTTCATGTAACTCAAATAATGACACAGTCCTTTAAAAATGTTCATATATTTAAAAATATACTTCCTCAAAGAAGATGTGGAGATAGTAACTAAGCACATGAAATATTAAATATATTGAGAATACAAAGTGAAACCAATATGGTATATCACTACATCACTTATACCTGAAAAGTTTTAAAAGCAGGTAATATAAACTATAGGAAAAAATGGAGAATAATTTAAACTCTCATGATCACTGCTGGGAATGAAAAATTACTTTGAAAAATGGATTACCAGTTTCTTTAAAAAGTAAACATATCCTTGCCATGTGATTATCTACTTTATTATTAATAATAAACACTAAAAATAAATAATCATCAACCGAGAATGCATAGTGAAATACTGATTCAATGGAATAATACCAGCAATTCAAAAGAACAATTTATCCATAAAACAATCTAACTGTCAAACCCATGCTGCAGTAGTCAGGGAAGTCCATTCATACGTAAAAGTGTATATACTGCATGATTCCTTTTCTGTAATAAGGCTAATACTGGTAAACCTATAATAATAGCAAACAGACTGGTAGTCAGTGGAGGGTAGGAATGGAAGACATAGAATATAAAGTGGCGTAAGAAACTTCTCAGGGTGCTGAGAATGTTGCTATGTCATCATCATGGCAGAAATACAAAACTATAAAAATAGAGATAAGAAGCAAATTTGTGAAAGCCTGAACTCTAGTCACTAAAATAAAAAACCTCAAAACTTACTTTCCAAGTGTTCTCCTAAAAATTAATTATCCAGTCCACTGCTGATAAAGAAATGAGTTAATAATGAATGCTAAGATTTTGCTTAAACAGAGAGGGGAAAATGGCTTGTCATCTTCAATTAGGTACTCATTAGGGCTACGACACACTGGATCCTGAAATTCTGATCACTCC